GAGACACTTTAACTACAACTTTTTTTATCCTACGCATTTTAACGCACAGGGCAATGAAAAGAGACACTTTAACTACAACTTTTTTTATCCTACGCATTTTAACGCACAGGGCAATGAAAAGAGACACTTTAACTACAACTTTTTTATCCTACGCATTTTAACGTACAGGGCAATGAAAAGAGACACTTTAACTACAACTTTTTTTATCCTACGCATTTTAACGCACAGGGCAATGAAAAGAGACACTTTAACTACAACTTTTTTTTATAGACGTCAGAATAGACAGTCGATTAGAATGTTTTAAAACTTTCTAATAATTTTTACTGATATTTTTATAGAAAGAGAATACTTTTGCAGTGGTCCCTTACAGTGGTCCCAACCAAATTTCGACCTGATACGAACACACAATCGTTTTTTTTTATATTTATAGGTACTTTATTGGTAACAAGGTATTCCTCAAGGCGTCTTAGTTCTCAGGGCTAACAATGCGGCTGCATTTTGATTCTGAATTGAGGACTAGATGTAGATATCTCTGCGCCACAGCATCCACTTACCATCAAGTGTACTGTGTGCTAGCGTGTCCCCCTTATTCTATAAAATTAAAATATATGGAAGAAGAAGAGGCAAACGAGCATACGGCTCACCTGGTGGTAGGTCGGTTAATATATTTAGGTATATTTTGCCAGTTTATCCTTTGAAGCTAAGTGTTGAGATAGTTTGGTCTCTACTTTTTCGATCGTCCTCGACGCCTTTATATACAATACATGTTTTTGATTATTTCTATTACATTTAATACAAGCTAAGCAATACACACGAGTACTTGTCATGTGCTATTGAATTCACAAAAATCTTTGGGAAATTATTAGCAAGATAAGAATTAGAAATGAGTGTTTTTCTATTCTATGAATAGAGACTAACTTTTGACCAGGATCGTGTCTGATAAAAAAAGAAATTTGAAGCGCTCATGGAAGTAGCTCATAGAAATGTAGTAGATATGAAAGATCTCTTAAATAAATTTAATTATTATACTAATTTAGAAACTTAGCTCGTAGTTTAGTAGCGACTTTTTAACAATTCAACAGTATTGTTACGTTGTAATAATAGGTATATCCTTTAATTCGAGTATTACGAGTAGATAATATTTATCGTCAAATAGATACAATGGTGTAGTAAACAAATATGACATCACTAACCTACTGTCTGACGTTAGTCTGTGACAATGTTCAATTAGGTTACAATACGTATTTAGAAATATGCTTTGCCAAGTGAGGTATCAGTTTGACAGGGCGTCGCAAGTGCGATTTATATTAGCATGTCTAAATAGATTAAAATTATCGATTAAAAACATTGTCAAATTCACAAGGTCCATGGATTATCCTCCAAACTGAAATTATGATTATTTAAAATATAGCCGTAACAGCTCCACGGCTAAACGCTCGGAGTAAATTTCACCGTAGGCAAGCAACCCGCGTTTGATTCCCCAATAAAATTGTGTATTGTAATTTTATATGCTAATTTACCACGTACTCGACGGTGAAAGAAAACACCGTGAGGAAACTTGTATAACTAAAGACTAAAAAAATTCAAGAACATTTATACCACAACATAAAAAGAGACAAATTATTTTATTACACCATTGTGTATTGTGCAACAAAATACATACAACCATAGCTTTTGTACCAAGAACTGGATTGAACCATCGATTATTCCAATTAATTCCAATGAATTGGCGCTAACTACCATATCACGTCATGTCTATACCGAGATTCACGCGCCTGAGACAATGTTTCCCGGGATATTAGAATTTCTATTATTTACAAGACAGTTATTTCGCCGTCTGTTGATTGCCACACACTTTGAACATCCCTAGGTTTTTTTCTAGCAAATTATTGAATCTATTTTATAATCGTAAAAACAAGACGAAGCGGAATTGATAGATACATCACGGCTAAAAGTGAAACACTTACAGTAACCCAAGTTTAACCTACCGCAATAGGTTGCATCTAGTTGTAACCGGTTAAACCTAAGTGTAAGAGGAAGTCCGTTATTCGAGTGTATGTATATTTTTTGTATGTAACGCCATATATTCGTCTTTCTTAGAAAATAGATTAGTTTAGTTTTTGGCACGAAGTTCCTTATCAGACGGTACGGGTTTCTCGGATGGGAGCTAAGCGACAAAAAGTGTAAGATTTTCTCGTCACTACCCCTTGTGTTAGTGTATTTTATTTTAAATGACGCTTCATTTTAATAGACGCTTGTAATACATTTATTTGTATTTGTTAATCAATAATATAATACGTTTATCAATAATAAGGAACTTCGTTCCAACCGAGTGTTCCACGTCACTCATGCATGTTTTTTTTTCTTCATTTGGAATATCACAAGCTCAAGGTGAAAAACTTAAATAACGTCTAAATAGTTACAAATACAATAATAATTAAAACATACTCAATTTGTGCATGCATATGGGTCAAATTTTTACTCCCAAATTTATATGGGATCGTTCTTAAAGTATAACATAAAAAAGGAATCATTAAAACCGGTTCACAATTGACACATGACATAAATGCAAAAAAAACTCACTCAAAATGAGAGCCACCTTTTTTAAACCGGCTAATAGTAAAAGATAACTTCAAAGTAAGTTCTTTGTAAGATTTTTTTTGTTTTTATGGAAAGTTTAATTTATAAAAAAGAAAAGTTACAGGCTTAATACGTCCCAATGCTATGCAGATGCCTACTCGCATTTCTGAGAATGTTTAGAAGCAAACAGTCCGCCACGCTGTTCCAGTGCATATTTGCTTACTTTACACGCTTTCATCGTCATCATCTAAAGTCCGTTACTGAACATGGCCTTTTTTTATAGGAGGAGGGCAAAAGAGCATGCGGTTCGCCTGATGGTAAGTGACTACCGCCGCCCATGAACAACCGCACCACCAGGGGAATTGCAGATGCGTTCCTGGCCTTTTAAAAAGGAGTAGGCTCTTATCTTGAAGGTATTTTTTCTTTCTTCCTCATAGATTGCGTCATAGAGCGGATATTTGCCATAGTTGCCACACTTGGCAGGTTGATTGACGCAATTTTTCTTATTTTTAGCTGGAAGCTGCTGCTGGAGTTTCAGTTTCCTTCTGTCGCCTACACCCACGGGATGATATGGGTTAGTGGAATCTCTTGCGCCGCGACTACACTAACACTACGTCATATATATTTAATTCCTCGCATATTATGCAGGTTTTACGATGTTTTCTTTCACCGCCTAGCACGTGCTAATAGCCGAGGTAGCTCAGGGTCTATAATCCCACCGTAAATTTCATAGTATGCTATCAACCGAGCGCGATCTCCGTCGGCACCAATGAAATTATTAATTGCGACTTAATTTCCTGACAATAACTACCTACACTAATTGTCTAAGGCCCCTATTAATAATCGTTCCTCAACGACGAACTCAAGTGCATAATCATTTGATACGCCTTTATTACGATATCAGCATCTCAAGATCGTTGCTAATTAATAAACACATAAAAACAGTATTTCAATACGCTGTTCTTAGGAATACTGTTCTGTGACTTGCACTCAAGTACACACACTTGAGAGTCGAGTTTCGTTTATCAATCAGTGTGGCACTCAGCTGATATCGTAAATCTAAACCGCATCTTGAGATATATTTATTAATAAGATCATAACCTCAAGATTTTACTTAAGTGCGTGTACTTGAGCTGAGTAACGTTTATTAATCCGGGCCTAAGAACCCAACCCTTTAATAATTAACGTATATTTTCCTTCATCATCATTAACACGCGACAGTACTACTGCTAACCTTGAACAATACTACATTTATCTTAGGCTTCATGTTTCCCGTGCTGACTATAACACTTGCGCAGATCGGCGCTCCGTCTAGCAGGGGGCATCCCTTATTACGTTTCGCTAAGCACAACCTCTATGATACTCAATTGTAGGTATAACTTGTCCCAGATGCGCGCGGGTACAAATCAAGCTAACACTACACTAGATGTTATCTTTTAACGACTTGAACATGTCTACTTCCACAAGGATTTTTTTTAAATAATGGTGAAGACCGCACTAAAATTCATAAGTTTTGACTAGGTGGTAGGCCTACTTTACAGCGTCTGAGTCCGAATACACAGACGCAGATAGTCATTCATAGTTATTTATTGCATTTTCATGCATGAACATAGTGTGGTTTCAGAATTATTGGTACCTACCTACAATACTCCTATCATGATACTGCTTTGAGCAAAGAAAAAAGCAACATGAATTTAATTGAAAATATACAGTTACAATGAAAATTATTTAACATTGTTACGCATAAGATTTGAGCGCGTACCAGACGTTCAACGATAAGTGACTTTGTTTTATGTTATTTGGTCAGTGCAAGTGGCACACCTTTAAATAAATAATATTAATATGTAAAAAGTTTGGTGTTTAAAACATAACTTTTTCTTTTTGTTCGACTTAAAAATGTACACGATGTTACCTTGTATGTATGTGTAGTTTAAATTTAAATGTTTCAAATGAAACCATTGAAAAGATGCAACCTCGCCACGATATAAAACCGGTCCGTGTCGAAACAATTTCTTTAATATAACTTATATATATTTTTCCCCACCACCATTATACCAATCATAGTAAGGTGAGTTAGTCACAAGAATAAATAAAAATTAAAGTGTTAATTATAAAAACAAAATAAACAACAAAATAACGATAAAAAAACTTACCTTACAAATTCTTTCAATAATAAAAAAAAATGTTAAAGATAGATCAAAGGACGAGCTATTGCTGTTGATGTATTCTATATGTACACACATTCAAAAGGAGTTGAACTTTAAATATTAAGAAATAAGGTATAAAATTTAACAACTGAATGATGCAGATCAATAACTTGATATCATCAAGTCATATTTAAGGTTTTTAAAATATTACTCAATCAGAATTCAAATATCCTGAAATATAAAATATATTAGACTTATAAATCTAAGACTCACCAATTCAGCAACGATTTTCTTCTCGAGGCGCTGGCACTCGTTCACCGGTTTCGTGAAGATGCGAGGGGTGTAAGGTTTTGCAGTCTGAAAATAAAACATTAGTTGAAGTTTATATAGATTGAGTAAGTATTAGACATAAACATTCACGCCTGTCACCCAGAGGGGTAGACAGAGATTATGGACTTCCATTTGGCACGATCCTGACACCCCTCTCTCGCTTCCTCCACATCCATATACCTACGCATACACGCTCGTCGGTTAAAGGTACTCTTGATTTGGCCCATTTTTAATATATCGCCAATTTGGTCGATAAACTTTCGCCTAGGGCGACCCTTCCCGACTATGCCGTTCACTTCTGCAACATAAATTTGCTTTGTCACTCTTTCCTCATTCATTCTTTCTACGTGGCCAAACCACCGAAGCATTCCTTTCTTAATCCTGGTCACAACATCATCTTGCAAACCACACACTTCTCTTATTAAACAATTTCTCACTCTGTCATTCAGATTCATCCCTAACATACTCCTTAATGACCGCATTTCTACAGCATTTATTCTACTCTCGTGCTTCTTCTGCCACACCCAACTTTTACTACCATACATTAAAGTAGGTACTAACACAGCATTGTGAATTGCCATACGTGCCTTTTTGGACACATTTTGACTTTTCACAATAGAGTGCAGAGCCCCATTAACTCTATTTCCTGAGCAAAGTCTCGGATTGGCGGCGACTAAATCTAGTCCAGTTTAATCCTCAGAAGACACAAGTTTGCGCGTTTACCGCTAAAAAGAACCCCTTTGTCGTATCTCCTCAGTTTCAAGGCACTCCCCTTCTTGCCTCAGCCAGTATCGGTATCCTCGAAGTCGACATATCGAGTGACGTGCAGTTTCGTGGTCACAGTGGAAGGGAAGGCCAAATTGGCCTCTAAAAAGCTTGGCGTGCTCAGCAGGGCGGGACAGTATTTCATGCCGGCACACCGCCTGCAACTTTACAAGGCGCAAGTTCGGCCTCACATGGAATACTGTTCCCATCTCTGGGCAGGGGCTCCCCAGTGCCAGCTCCTTCCACTTGACCGCATCCAACGCAGAGCTGCTCGAATCGTCGACGACCGAGCCCTTTCCGATCGGCTCGATTCATTGGCACTGCGAAGAGATGTTGCATCCCTTTGCATTTTCTTTCGCATCTACCATGGGGAGTGCTCTGAGGAATTGTTCGGATTAATCCCAGCCGCCAAATTTCACGAACGCACATCGCGGCAGAACTCCCGATACCATCCACACCATCTGGATGATTGGCGGTCCACCACTGTGCGATTTAGAAGATGTTTTCTTCCTCGCACGACCTCCTTGTGGAATCGATTACCATCAGCGATTTTTCCGGACCGATACGACTTAGGGACCTTCAAGAAAAGAGCGTACTCCTTTTTAAAAGGCCGGCAATGCATCTGCGATTCCCCTGGTGTTGCAGTTGTTCATGGGCGGCGGTAGTCACTTACCATCAGGTGAGCCGAATGCTCGTTTGCCCCCTCTCCTATAAAAAAAAAAATTCACTCGTCGTTCTATATCCTTATCATATCTACCATCCCTGCTAAAAAAGTATTATTACATTTAAATAATTTTATCGCATCGCAAATTAAAATTAATAATATATCGTTGCGGTAAAACTGCCGACAAACCACTAATATCAAGCCGCCTTGGCAGTGGGGGATTATCCCTAAGGCAAACTAGGCACGTGACTAGCGGCGCGCGGAAGTTTTTAAACGAAAAAACAATTCGTCTATTTGATTACTTCTACATCGCCCTTGCTCTCTCATCATATTTTTCATTCACGACCATCAGTTAAGGGTACTCATGTCCTAATTATTTTGTAACTAATAAACTCAATTATAAATTACTAGCTTTTTGCCCCGCGGTGTTACCCGCGTCAACGTTATAGGATCCAGACAGTCACGACCAACACCTATTTTGAAATTGCATAATACGGAGAGCTCAAGCTTAAAATTTTTCATATTTCGTAATGATAATGATCGCAGATTTTAAATTAGACTAAGGCTTTTCGAATAGTGAAGACAACTCTAACATGCTGCCTCTTCGTACTTGCTCCCGTACATTCAGCCTCCTTCTTCATTCAATGAGTTACAGCTGTACGCTTGTGGAACACCTTCCCTCTGCATACTTGTTGTGCTCAATCTTGTTTTTTTCTTTCAAAAATCTGCTCAAAGTTTATTACTTGGAACACTTGTAATTGCCGTCATACTTGATGTCATCATGTGTTTTTATCGTTATTATTATTTCAATATATATATATATATATATATGGAATATTCGAAAATCATTAAATACGTATTACTAAGTTTGTAATAAAAAGTTTCTATAAAGCTTATAATGGTGTTGTTAAAGATATAATTTAAACATGGCAGCATTTCAACCATATTTCATCTTTAATTATATCTCACTTAAGGATAGAATTGTCAAAAATGAAAATTTGTATTTAGGCTAACACATGTTAGCCTAAATACAAATTTATGTCGATCCACATTCTAAGGGATCCAGAGGCTTTTGTAAAGTTCGAAAATATGTATTATCTATAACTACCCTAATTTCGTTTTGAGTATATCTTCAGCGACATGCAAGTAAGAAAGCAATTTTTTCTCCCAACGCAATTATGCCCCCTTATTAACACTTTATGATTAGGTTTTCGTATTCGTAACCATGCGATACGATACGCATAAAAATGCGTATTTCATTACATATTTTAATACAAAAATAATTGTATTAATTTTGAAGTTACAAAAATCATTTTATAATTTTTCATCATACAAATATGAAATCGCCCCGTAAATGTTGTACCAACTGTAACACCTTATTGGATCCTCTGATGGTTTAAATTTTTCAAAATCCTATCTTAGTTCTTAGTCTATGTTCCATAGTCAGTAATTAAAGGAAGCTATATTGTTACAATTTCATGTTTCTTCGTCCAGCGGTTTGAACTGTGCATCATAATAATATTTTTCATATACAGCTTGCAAACTCGTTTTAAAACAGTTTAGATTTTGAAAAACACGGCAGAGGCGTAATTCCAGAAAATTACTTGTTCTTTTTCCCATATTAAATGACCTATTTTCGCCTTCTTATCTTAAGAGTAAATTTCAATATCTCTCCTCATCTCATGATAGGGGATAGTTCTTCTTCTAACAACATTATATGTATTCCAGTTCACTTCACCGAGTTCTATGGTAACTCCTTTACAGTTCAGGCTACACGCCTTTGGAACTCCTTGCCCTATGACATCAGAAAAGCTCCCAATAAGTTTGTGTTAAAACATTGGTGCTTAATCATCTATTAAAGACAACGCTTCTTACATGAATCATCCATGACCTTTATATTGTTAGACATATATTATACTCATAGTTATTTATATGTACTATATAGTATATACTATATAGACATGCAGGAAGTCGATGGATGCAGGTGGCTCAGGACCGTGCTTTGTGGCATTCTTTGGGGGAGGCCTATGTTCAGCAGTGGACTTGTGAAGGGCTGTAATGATGAGAATGATGATGATGATGATATATATATATGTTTAGGTATGTATGTATAATATTAGTAAAATGTATATATAACGTAGTTAATTATCAGTTTTATTTTGTTTTTATTCCATATTGCTACACCTATGTCAAATTTTAAATTCATAAATAGAAATTAAAAATGTGAATCTTATTATTTTTGATTTCAGAGTATATGTACCGATTTTCAAATTAATACAATTATTAAATAATTGTTCTCCATACAATGTCAATACCCTCTGACTCCCCACTCGTAAGAGTTTGTTTTGTAAAGTCGCTAAAATTCGAATTCATTTATTTTCTTTACAGAGTACCTTAAGTTTCGTGTCAATTGTCCCGTAAAACAAAATGCTTTATACAAACTAACATCCTATTCATCCTCTTAGGGATTGGATTTTCCAAAATCCTTTCTTAATGGATACCTATTTTATAAAAGGCAGCTACTGTCTAAATGTCAGATTTCTACGTCTAGCGGTTTTGGCTGTGCATTGATATTTGCAAAATTAGATGTTGTAATTTATAATATATGACCGCTAGAGAGGCGCCAATGAGGTCCTAACCACTGCATCTTGGGTTGATATAAGTGATTTTACGACAGTGCTTAATATGAGTTCTAGATTATAAGTTCCAACCAAAAAACCAAAGATGCTAAAGCTCACTGACTTGGCTTCACAAAAGCATATTCACTCTTGCCTTGAAGACACTCACATTGTAATTGGATGGGAAGAAATATGCTGGCAAATTATTCCTCTTTCCTCTTGCCATCTTCAAGACATTTACATTATAATTGGATAGAAAATCAGGTAATTATTCCAAGTAATGCTGTACGTTTTCCAAAAGAAGAAGCAAACCATTTGGTTCAAATGTGTAGTATGTCGACAAAAAAGGTTGGGAAACTGGCAGTGATGTGTCTGTTGGTTGAAGGAAGCGGGAGGAATTATATCATGGATCACAAAAATTCCTGCATACACTCTCCTAAATTTATCCTGTAGAACACCAAAAGACAGACTAAGATAGACTTTAACCAAAATGAGGTCACAACTAAGTCTCTTATCATGCTTTTCCATTAAGATGAAATTATTAGGAGGCTCCCGTCATGGGGGGGGGGGTATATTGCCATAGTTGCCACGCTTGGCGAGCGGGTGGGCAACCGCAGTTTTTTCTTTATTGTAATTTGCTGTTATCAGAAATATGCTGCTGCCCATCTTCTATCTCAGTTTCCCTCTGTCGCCTCTTACGAAACCCACAGGAAGATATGTGGTAGTGGGTATTCTTACCCTACATGAGGAACCAGTGTGTATTGCCAGTCATGACCTATGGATCTGAGATGTGGTAGCTTCACTGCTGGCCGTATGAGGAAGCTCTAGGTCGATCAGCGAGCTATGGTGAGGGCTATGCTCGGAGTTTCTCTGCGTGATAAAACGAGGATATCCACAGTAGAACCAGAGTAACCGACATAGCTCAACGGATTAGTAAGCTGAAGTGGCTATGGGCCAGCCATGTAGCTCGAAGAATCGACAACCGATGAGGAAGAAAGGTTCTCGAGTGGCAGCCTCGTATCGACAGGCGAAGTGTAAGGCATTCCCCTACTAGATGGAGTGACGACCTGGTAAGATATGCAGTCAATGGATGCAAGTGGCTCAGGACCATGCTTTGTGGCATTCATTAGGGGAAGGCCTATGTTCAGCAGTGGACTTATGATGGGCTGTTATGATGATTAGGAGGCATATTGAATTTTGTTTTAAAACTCCGAGGTAAGATGGACAGCTGAAAAAACAGGCTAACAGTTACATTGAAGAATCATTATTTTCTACAACTAAAAATTAATATTTATGGTTATATTTTATAGTTAGATACCCGATTTGAAGTAGCAGTAGATTGCAATGCTTTATTTATGTCGTTGATAGAGTGTATGGACACATCCAGAGTGGAGGACTCGAGCTTTTCATCTTTGGGTTTTCGTTGCTGCGGTTGATTTTTCTTAGGTTCTTGGTTCTGAAAATGATGAATGGAAGTAAGAAAGCAGCCTTTTCACAACCACCTTTTCTATGTAAGCCATGGTCAATTCTAAACTTAATTTTAATACATATATCAGAAGTTGTTAACTGTGCAGGATATATGTTTCTCAAGTATATCATGTCCAATGTTAAGTTTGTGATAAAATCAAAGTTAAACCAGGAAATCACCGTCAATTTGTAGATAAACAGTAGTTTATCATTATATTTAAACTAGTTTTCAATAAAGAAGACTGTTTTTATAAAGAACTCTCAGGAAAATATGCGAACAGAAATATAAAGTATTGACATCAATTGTTAAATTTCGCGGAAGCTGTGTCGATAGCACGGAGCAGATACAAAGAAGAGACGGCCTAAGCAACCGTGCACTGTGATTCTAACTACGTTCTGACGTCATCACAGTGGGCGTGGCTTTAGTTAGTATACTGTCAACGTTCGTCCTGTGCGCTTATGTGTTGAAAATCGAAAAATCGGTGTATTTTCGTAGTATTAAGAAGAAAAGGATGAAGTGTTGTGTTTTATCGTGTAAAAACTACTAAGATGTCTATTTTGTAAATGTGATGCCATCCTTAGCATCAGAGTGTTAAAATATTTCTAGAAAAATCACTGCGTCGGCTTTCAAATATAATTAAATATATTCGACACTATATGGTGACACTTTGTATCATGGGAACTAAAAATATAAAAGTACGTAGAGCTCAGTATTGGTAAAATAACTATACAAAGGTGCTGAAATTAGTTTTGCATTCAGCCCTAAAGAATTTATAATCGCTAAAATATTATTTTAATAGTTTTTATAATTATTTTGTGAACAAGCCGCCATCTATCGTCAAGGTAGCTAAACTAATTGCAAAATCGATATGGAACGATGCCAGTAATTTTACTATTTATCGGTAGATGGAAAATGGTTAAGTGGGCGGGGCTTAACACCCCCTCACCCCGCAAATTGTCACGCGTTGTTACATAGTGAAATCTAATTACAATACCTCCTCTTTGTATTTGCTCCGTGGCCGGTAGTTATCAATAAACTAAGTTTTGTAATAGCTAGGATTCGAAATCAAAACTCGCGAGTTTATCTATTCAATACAACCCATTAAGAAAGAGTCTACGGCTAAACTTAGGGCTCCTCATAGATTGCCTTTAAGAGGTAATATTTGCGATAATTTAAGTAGGCAGGTATATTGAGGTGCTGCCCTGTTTCAGTTTGCCTCTGTCGCTAGCTTACACGGCACCCACGATTCAGTAGATAGGTATTCTGATCACTATTGCGGTCGCGTTTAAGGTGTTCTAAAATATATTTTGTCCTCATGGGTCATCTTGGACATGCGTTTTTGCCATTGTAAGGAAGATTTGCCATCATTGCCACGCTTGACGTGCAGTCTAGCGATTGCGGTATCAGAAGGCTCGCCCCTATGACGACGCTGGTATTATTGACATATAAAATTATTATACCACCTATATATGAGGTTATGAAAATAAATCTTCATATAATTTTCCACAGTCGACTCTTACGATTTCCATGGGTTGCGGGCCTGGGATTTTCTAAAGTCGTCACTTTTTATTTATCTATATATCTTATATTTTATTTATCCTGTATTATCGATTTATTATTTAGTGAGTACCATTAGCCCTTTAAATTTAAAAAAAGAACTACGCTATTCTTTCTTTCGTTGCGCGGGTGTTGCCAAAGGCGACTATGGGATATGCTAAAAAGTTCCTATGGTTATCAATAGATGGCGGTATGGCAATCTCGTTTACGGTACATGAAAAATACCCAGATTACCGACGGAAAGCAGTGTCAAAGGAACGAAACTGCGATCGTCAATTCGCCTTTCAAGCGTTATGTTTAACTCCCTACAAAAAGTTGCCATTTTTTTATTGTTTTCACCTGAAATTGGATAGTAAGAGACTATATTGATACATTTGTATGACCTAAATAATAAATAAGTAATTACTAACAAAGTTATGATGCGATAGATCATCCTCCCAATTATTGATCTGGTCTGCCAAAGCTGCAAGTCTTCCGAATTTCTTCTTGCCATCGTGCGTCGGCTTCGTCTCTTTCGTTGGTTCTGATGCTGATGGCGGAGTGGCGGAGTTGAATTCCAATTCTGTGCGATGTATTGGCGATGATAGATTAGGTTCATCTGAAAAATAACCACAAATTTTTAAATGTTGTCATGTGGTAGCGTAAAAGAATCTACCACCCCATCTCGTCCCGTGAGTGTGACTACGGGGAATGCCAGAAATTTTTTATTCTTTCCGATAGATGGCGGAGCGCTATACTTGCTCGTGTACACAAGACGTAAAATACGCTGACCGACAACGGGCAGAAACGTCAAAGATGCGAAACATCTGGTACTGTCAATTCGCCCGCCAAGCGTGATGATTAAGGCAAATCCCCTCGTCAACGGGAGAGGCTCATGTCCAGCAGTGGACTCTTAAGGGCTAAAGATTTTAAATTAAGAATGTTAAAATTAAAAATCTAGTACTAAATTTGTACATACTGACTGCATTGGTTATATTTTCTTAACAGCGCATTCAAATATAATCAAAAAAGGAACTCATAAAAGCATGTGATGAATATTTTAATTCGAAAAAAAAAAGAATGTGATATGTCGACGCTCACCTACATACAAATTAATAACATTTGATTTGAGCCCATTCCTTATTTTAATAATTAACGTATTTTTTTATAATGTAACAACAAAGGAAATTGTTATCAATGCGAGATAAAAACATTACTCATACAATACGTGAGAGTGCATTACATGAATGCACAATTTGGTCTCATTTCTTCTGCACGGAAAAACTCAATGCCATGCCTTATTTAAACTATATTTGCACAAGATTTTGTACAAAAGACCTACTCAACTTTTTAAGGTGTTCTTTTGGCTTAAATTGACAAAGAGTGTGTTATCAGAGAAGTATTAATGGTAATAAAATGTATTTTTTGGTTTTGGAGAGTGGTGGTTGTGGCGAAGCAAATTTAGATTTAGAGATAAACGAGCACACAGTCCACCTGATGGTATGTGGTTGCTGTGACCCATAGACATCCACATTTATCCTCAATGAAGAATCAAAAAGCAGATGCGTCGTCACCCGTGAGGACTAAGATCGAATGCCTCTTTTCCATAAAAAGATTCATCACCTCAACTTGACCCATAGGCGTCATAAGCGTAGACTATAGGGAAAGCCAGGTCTGACTTCCGATAGTTGGGAGTTGACCACCAATGTCCACATACACATGCCAGGTGCAAAATATAGATCGTCAGAAGCATGGCAAATGGGGAAAAGAATGTTCAGCAGTGGACAATTTACCTTCCAAATAATAAACAGATTTGATAATTGACAGAACCAGGCATTACTTTGCGGAAATCCATTATAATGGGGTTGTTATAAACTAATTTGCTTAATTCCGCGTCGAGAAAGAAAATGATGTTGGGAGGGTGGTAGGTCCCCTTAAAAACTGGCAGGAAACATTATTTTCTTTCTTTACGCCATTAAACAGATTTGATTTGATTTAAGTCTTTAATACTTTATTTACTTTATTTGTTGTCAAAAAAGTAACGAGTGATTCGTATATTTATGTTCCAATTCTAAAATAAGTAAAGGAATAAATTCATTATATTATCAACAAAACTGAAAGTCAAAAGTTTGAGTGATTTGAAAATTTACATTAGAATGGCGTAACATACAATGATTTTTTAAATGAATACCATTTATCTAACATATAAAAAATAATATTTGTTTGTTCGTATTTTATTCGCGGCCATACCGTTCATCAGATTGCGCTAAAACTTTGTAAACTTAATGCACTTGCGCGTAGGTTAAAGGCATAGTATAATTAAGTTACAGTAAGTAGATGGCGCTCGTATCGTACCGACAAATTTATTTGTAAGTCATATATTATTCAATTTCAATGAATTTATTATCGTTCCAAATTAAAAATATAACAATCCCAAGTTTAAAATGATATCTCCACAATTACTGCTTCTGCGACAGCAACGTGCCAGGTACCAGCTTGTGATTATTAAAAATATAAGACTACAACTATAAATTTCGTTAAATCGAGAGTTCTTCAAAACCCAATTAAAATTGTATGTGAGATTTTTTATTATGATGAGAGCCACGCTGCAGGTATATTGTGGTTGTAGGACGAATGGGTTGCTCAACCGGGGCTCAAATGCTGCTGTGTTTCGTATGGTGAGTGTAGAGAACCGGTGACCCTTTTTACTGGAAAAGAGGCATTCCATCTTAGTCCTCAAGGCTGACAACACATCTGCATTTAGATTCTTAATTGAGAATAAATTTAGATGTCTATGGGCCACAGCATACACTTAGCATCAGGTGGACTGTGTGCTCGTTTGTCACCCTTATTCTATAACAAAATATATACAAAAATTATGATCTAATTTACTCACCAGAATACAGGTTTCCTAGTCTGTCCAGTCTGGATTTTATATTATGGCGTAATGCTGGACGTTCATTCTTAGCGTCAGCCGTGTGACATTCTTCTTTCTCCACGATTGCGCGAGAGGTGTCGTCTGAAAAAAAATATCAAAATCCTTAATTCCTTAGGTCTTACTTTTTAGGTAGAGCTAAGCTATAGCCTGCAGCATGGATGGCTCAATGAGGGACAGAACACACTCTCACAGATTACCCTTATTACGAAACAGCATAATGACATTGTGTTTGTGTAAAACTTTTATTAAAAAAAAAAACTTCGCAGTGTAGTTGCGACGAAAATTTAATATTATTGAATTTCGTTCTGTCGGTGTAGTAATGGTGTTACCACACCGATCGATGGTGGAATGGATTAGTCGACGTCGATCAGCTAAAGCTACCACAGCAATCGATTGACATCGATCAACACCATCGAACAACGATCGATGGTGGAATGAATTAGTCGACGTCGATCGATAATTCCTACCACACCGATCGATCGATGGTAGAATGGATTTTTGACGTCGAACGAGCTGCTTGATTATTCGAGAACCCGCCATGCTCCACCGACCGCATTTTGAAAGATACTAATGATGAGCCCACAACCACATCGACTGATTGACGTCGAACGATGATTGAGCTAAGTTTTCGACCTGTATCCGTTGAACAGCTAAAGCTACCACACTAATCGATCGATGTCGATCAATGGCATCGATCGATGATCGATCGATTGTTGTGGTAACACCCTTATTAGGCAAAAGCTTGAAATCATACACTAAAAACCATATTATTATATATTACACAAAAGGTAGAATACACGCTATAGAGTAGTTAGTGTACCAGGTACGAGACGTATAGCACCGCCAATCCCCGTGGCGATATTTCTAGAGCAGTGGCTGTACAGCGGTTAACCAACTTGGATTTCTACAATTCTAAATGCTAATAGAAAATGTTCTCCAGACCGAATTTCGGTTACGGCGGCCAGTCTCAACGGGAATAAACCACCCGTGCAGGACTATAATTCAAGAGTGTGTGCGCAAACAAATTTGCACTTTTTATTCCCTCACTTACATGGAACAGCAATCCATCAAGAGCGGAGACAGATCAGGCGTAGGACATGCAGGCATGGGGGTGAAACACCGCCAATTACCTGCCTACGGCCTGCAATTGAAATTTTCTTGACAGAAAATACGTGGTAGAGCCATGCTGCAGCTATATTAGTTGTATAGTTGTAGCACAAATGGGTCGGCTCGACCGGGGAAGGACCACGCTCTCACAGAATACCAGCGTAAAATAGCAGTTTAACACTGCAGTGTTTCGTATGGTAAGTGTAGAGAACCGGAGACCGTTTTTACTGGAAAAGAGGCATCCCATCTTAATCCTCACGGGTGAGAACGCATCTGCATTTTGATTCGCAAACGAGGATAAATGTAGATGTCTATGAGCCATCCGACCATCAGGTGGACCGTGTACTCGTGTGTCACACTATCTATAAAGAAAAGAAAAACCCAATAAGTGATTTTATCCCGACACTGGATTGATGACAAGCAGTTGCGCTACATTACATTGTATATACGGCCTACATGTAATTGTTCCGGGCCTAGATGTTTGTCCTTGTGCATTTTATGCGTGTTAACTGCCTCCATGATACAGAAGAAAATCTTAGAGTGGGGGTAACATTTTTAAATGATAAAAAAACCGTTGGATCCTTCTGCAAACAGTGCTATAAGAGTGGAAATTTTCAGCACTTTCGTTCGAATTCGTATTCCTAATCAACAGAGATACATTGTTACGTAGAGGCTGTATTTTTAAAATTTATTTAGTAAGTATATAATACATAATAATACCATTTTATTAAGCTAAAGTGAAAATAGGCCAGCATAATTGTGGTTGGCTCGAAACAGACAATCAAAAGGGAAGAAAGGTTTTCGAGTGACAGCATCAAGCTAAATGTGGGGCGGTCTCCCATAAGATGGATTACCGACCTGATAAGAGATGCAAGAAGTCAAGGAAGGAGAAGTAAGTATATGGCTAGCGCCCGTGCTATGTGTAATTCGATAGGTAATGCCTATGTTCAGCAGTGGAGAAGTCTTTAGTGGTAGTTCTACAGGTGTTTAACTGTGGCATGCCAGGAGCTAACTAGTGGACTGACATTATAAGGGAGTTTTTTTCAAAAATTTAGTGAATTGCGGTTACATTTCGGTGACAACCGAGAGCGCATTATTAATGTAATGTACTCTACTCTACTGTACTCTACCAGTACTTTGAATCTAGAAAGTATTGATTATGTTATTATGCTCTTAGTTTGACTCCTTTTTTCTCGAACGCATACTGTCATCGCGAAGGTACAGGATAGGTTTTTTTTTAATAGAATAAGGGTAACAAACAAGCAACACAGTCCACCTGATGGTACGTGGATGCTGTGGCCCATAGACATCTATATTTATCTTCAATCAAGAAATAAAATGCAGATGCGTTGTCACACCCTGAGGACTGAGATAGAATGCCTCGCATCCAGTAAAAAGGGTCTCCGGTTCCCAACACTCTAAATAATAATGTAATAAAAATCCATGAAAGTGGTTTTATTCAATGTGTAGTGTTCGCGTAAATATAAGAAATCATTATAAATTATTATTTTTTACTAGCTGATACCCGTGACTTCGTCCACGCTGCTTACACACATCACTGAACACAGTGCTTACAAAAATATAAAAATAGTTGTTTCTTAAAACTTTAATAACTTTATATTAAATGAAGATATCGCAATTACTTTTTTTTTTTTAGATAAGGGCAAGTGTCTAAGAAATAAAACTTAGTTAAATCTATCCAGTAGTTTTTCCGTTATGTGCACACAACTACAAACTTCTATAATTTTATTTATATAGATTAAATAGGCTTTTTTATCTATATAAATAAAATGATAGAGGTATAACAGACTGGAATTTGAAGAAAAATAGAGAATGAAGTTTTTATTGCAACTATTAGACGACATTTTAATGTTATACTGTTTAGTACAAAAGAATTTAACTTTTAACTAAAAATTAAAACCGGACCTCGAAACTAAAAGAACCAAATGATTTATACATAATAACTTTTAATTCTTCGATACACTATGTCTTATCATCGGACTCAAAAGTTATTTTTTAATAACAAGCTATGTTTTAACTTTTTAATTTTACATAATTTACAGAGAATGTAAGTTTGTAACAGTAAAAAAATAACACCTCAGTGCATATTATGTGACGTATATTAATCATGTATTAATCTTATTATATGGTACAGAAGGAATTTATAATTAAGTTTAAGGCCAATTAAGTTTACCTGTGGTTACCGTCATGCTGGAATGGTTGTGGAAACTTGAAATAAGTTATAACATTCAACACTGATAAAACTGTGTACACCAATCACTAAAACCCAAGGAATACTAAAAGGTGTAAAATTTGAAGCAATGAACATTTAAACAAACTTACCAAGAGTAAACATTGTTTGCTAATGCTTCCCTGGAATATTAATCTCAAAAATGAATGACTAATGTGCAGAATGAAGATTTGTGTACAGGAAAACAATAGTGTTTATTCTATGGCAAATCATTTACATTGATGTTAATGACCTTTTCTCATCTTAATTATCTTTAATTTAAACTTTAAACTGATCAATTAAAAATATTTTAGGTTTTTATTTGATGTTAGAAATAACTTATTTTGTTTATGGCCAAATTGTTATTCTATATGCACTAATAATAAATTTCATAACACCCATGAAAACAATAGCCCTCTGCAGTATTAATATTATCAATTGTAGTGCACGAGAAATTTCTAGTGTGGTAAACCAATTAGAAATAATAAAAGCAACAGAGATAGTTAACAATCGAGCCATTATATTCTTAATGTAATATAAGCAGAATTTATATTTATATTTATATTTTCAGCATTTCTAACTTTTTTAGGATAATGTTAGAATTATTTAAAAATAAATTTATATCGTATAATATATAGATTGTGATATTCTGAACATTATGTAAATATGTAATATCAATATATCACATGTATGTAAACTATTTTATGCATAATCCAGCAGCAAATCGTGCTAAAATGCACAATGCTACTGTTATAGCAAAAACTTCCACCTCTAAACATATGACTTCTCCCAATACTCGTCATGCTTGACGGGCTGGTTGGCAACCACTTTTTTATTTTTATGTTATTACTTGGAAACACTCCTGCTCATCTCCTGGTTTGTTTTCCTCTATCGCCTCTTACGAAACCCGTGGGAAGATATGGGGTAGTGAATATTCTTACACAACTACTACATAGAAAAAAAAAGTAAAGTTGCAGCCTATTTACGTCTCACAGCTGGGCACAGGCCTCCTCTCATTTCTGAGAGGATTTTAGAGCCAGGAAATGTCCGCCGTGCTGCCCCAATGAGTGTTACCGAACTTCACGTGTCTTCGAAATATTTTTTTCTTATTTCTCAGACATGCAGGTTTCCTCACGATGTTTTCCTTCACCGCCGAGCACATGGTAAATCAGCGCTTAAAATTGCAATTAACAATTTCATTGGTGCCGGCGGGGACTACTATATAGAAATAACAAACAATTAGTTAATTCATTCCTATGCAAAGTCCTGGGCTTGATTTCTCTCAGGTCTAATCCTGTCTTGCACAGATGGCTTGTTTCTGTTGATGGCTCCAGGTTGCTCAAAAATGTTTAAATTAATAATATATTGATTAAAATAATTTTTGGAAGAAGTCACATGTCAATTATTTTTTATCTTTTTTTGTTTCTTTTATCTTCACGCACAATCCCTGACGGGGTAGCCAGAGAGAACAGATCGCCAAGTGTCACGATCCTTACATATCTCTTTCGCTTCTTTCAGATTCATTATCTTCTTCATACATGCACGTCTAGGTATCCGAGTACTCTTGACCCTACCCTCTTCGAGCAATTTGCTCACATGGTCTTCGAAAGTTAGTCTCGGTCTACCTCGACACCTTTTAATATTAACTTTCGCGCTATATATTTTCTTCACCATTCGGTCTTCACTCATTCGCTCAACGTGCCCAAACCACCGAAGCACGCCCTTATCAATTTTTGTGATAAGG